GCTGAACAGCTTAGAATGCGAAGGACCTCCCCCCACCCCCAGCCATACACACACAAAACAACAAAGTATCAGGCCCCAAATGTCACTAGTGCCAAGGCTGAGAAATTCTGCACTGGACTGTATCCTACCCATGATGGCGGAAGGTCAGATAATAGGCAAGACACGATTGAAAAAGATGAGGAACAGCTGCTTTAAGGACTAAGCTAAAGTTCATTATGAAAGGATGAAAGGATTGGTGAAGAGCAGAAAGGTGCTGGTGGTTGTCAAATGCAGAAGGTAAGTGGCTTTATTATTTTTCTATCAGCTACTCGGCATTTGGGACTTGATAGTATTTTTAAAGAAGTCAGTGATCTGTACTTCACTGGGTGAAAATATTACCTTTATGTTTTAATTTTATTTCTGAACTCAGGGAGACCAGACCCGTCCTTTTATCACATCCAGTCCTACTAATGGGGCCCAATCCGTTGCAGAAGGCTGGGTCGCTAAAAACCCATATGACACGCATTTTGGTGATGTACACTTTTATGACTATACTGGAGATTGCTGGGACTGGACAATTTTCCCCAAACCTCGATTTGCATCTGAGTATGGATATCAGTCCTGGCCCTCCTTCAGCACGTTAGAAAAGGTAAGCCAACCTTGATTTCCCTGGGATTCAGAGGGGTAGGCATGCCGCCTCCTCACTGTGGTTCAGAAAGTCAAATGAAATCTACTTCCTATTTAAATGAAAGTTAATGAAGGAGATAATAGGAAAGAACTTGTTTCTTTAACCTTTGGGGTGCTAAACCCTTGTGGTCATCTTTTGGGGGATTATCACTTTCTATATTGCTTTTAATTATGTTCTTCAAGGGCATTTAAAAATTAAATGGGAGTCAGTGGTTGCTTAAGCCTGACTTATCACACATGAAAATTACTTTCACTTGCTACTTTCTATATACCCTACAATTGTTTTCTGTTTTATCATTTACAGACATTTAGAGCTGGATAGTTTGCTACAGAAAGAGAAATAGATGTGATAAATAAACCTTTATCTGATGTTATCGTATCATTCCTTTTATTTTCTCTCCTCTTCCTCCTCCTCCTCTTCCTTTTTTTTTTTTTGTCATGTTGGTGTATTTGATTTTCAGGATACATTCCACTTTCTCTATTCCCGAAGAGTCAGTTTCATAGATGGATTCTGTTTCAGACCTTTGTTCTTTGTTTTAAACAGCTTTATTGAGACGTAATTCAGTGACCATACAACATACCCATTTAATGTGTACAGTTTAATGGTTTTCACAGTTGTGCAGCCATCACCATGATCTAATTTTAGAACATTTTAATTACCTCTGTGCTCTCTGTATTAGCAGTCACTCCTCACTCCATCTGTCCCACCCCAGCTCCAGGCACTACTCATCTGCTTTATTTGTCTATATATTTGTCTATTCTTACATTTCATATAATTGGAATCATATCATATGTGATTTAAAAAAATTCTTAGTTTTTATTGAAGTGTAGTTTATTTACAGTGTTAGTTTCAGGTATACAGCAAAGCAGTTCAGTTATGCATATTCATGCATACATATATATATTTTAAGTTTTATTTCCATTATGGCTTGTTACAAGAAATTGAATGTATTTCCCTGTGCTATACAGTAGGTTCTTGTTGTTTATCTGTTTTATATATAGTAATGTGTATCTGTTAATCCTAAACTCCTAATCTGTCCCTCCCCCATTCTTTCTTCCCTGGTAACCACAGTTTGTTTCCTACGTCCACCCATGAGTCTATTTCTGGTTTGTAAATAAAATTTGTATCTTTCTTTTTTTTTCTTTAGATTCCACATATAAGCAAGATCATGTGATATTTGTCTTTCTCTTTCTGACTTACTTCACTTAATATGATAATCTCTAGGTCCCTCCATGTTGCCATATGTGATCTTTTGAGACTGGCTTCTTTCACTCAGCATAGTTTTTGAGTTCATCCATGTTGTATCATGTATTAGTCTGCCTTTTTTTATTGCTGAATAATATTCCATTTATGGATATACCACATTTTGTTTATCCAGTCATCAGTTGATATACATTTGTGTTATTCCCTCCTTTTGGCTATTATGAATAATTCTGCTATGTACATATTTTTGTGTGAATACACATTTTCAGTTCTATTAAGTATATACCTGGGAGTAGAATTGCTGGGTTATATGGTAACTCTATGTTTAATATTCCAAGGAACTGCCAAACTCTTCCATAGTGGCTGTACCATTTATATTCCCACTAGCAACATATAGGAGTTACAATTTCTCCACATCCTTGCCAACACTTGTTATCTCCTTTTTTCCCCCATTTCCCTGGAAATTTACATTTACGGGAAGTTTGCATTTCTTTGATGGCTAATCATGTTGAACATCTTTTTATGTGCTTATTGGCTCTCTGTATATCTTCTTTGGAGAAATGTGTATTCAGATCCTTTGCCCATATTTTAATTTGGTTCTTTGTCTTATTATTATTGAATTATGAGAGTTTATTGTAAGAGTTTATAAAAATACCATAATATATTTATAAAAAAATACCACCTATATAATATATGATTTGCAAACATTTCCCCCAAATTGTGGGTTTTCTTTTTTTACTTACTTGATGGTGTTATTCAATGGACTGGACAACATTTTTAAATTTTGAAGCTCTACTTATCAATCTTCTCTTTTGTCTCTTGTGCTTTGATGTTGTATCTGAGAAACCATTGCCTAAACTAAAATCCCAAAAGTTTACTTCTGTGTTGAATTTCAGTGTCTTCACCTGTAAATTCAAGGAGGTTGTGTGTGTGTGTGTGTGTGCGC